GGTGAGGGCTGGCGCACCTGGCTCTCGCCCTGCCTCCTCGGAGGGCCATGGAGCCTGCCCTGAGCAAGTTACGTGCTGCGCCAGGGCCTTGGGGACAGCTTGGGCAGGGGCCTGTGCAGTCCTGTGCCCGTCCCTGCCAGGGGAGGCCCAGCACAAGGGGGACATGGCAGCGGGATGCTCTGCTGGCGTGGGCAGTGTGTGGGGTGCCGGGACCCCATAGAGGGTGGCCACGCTGACCCCGCGGCTACAGGAGTACCAGGGGACGCTGGAGCGGGACGGGCAGACAGCGCTGCAGGTGACAGGCAGGGAGGGGGACATCCTGGACGTGCTCCTGGAGAACATGGGCAGGATCAACTTCGGCGCCAACGTCAGCGACTTCAAGGTGAGGGGAGGGGGCCCCACCAGCCACCTGGGGGCACAGCCTGGGCGCCTGTGTGGCCACACACCCGTTCCAGCCACCCTTCCACACCCCGGGCAGTCCAGACAGACCCTGGCCCCATTAGCTTTTATGCTTTCCCATCCTCCTTACCCCAAATGCTTTTCCATTTACCTCCTGGAGGTGACAAATGCATCAGGATCCAGGGAAAGGCAGCAAGCCTTGCCCTCCCCTGCATGCCCCCATGGCAGCCGGGACGCACGCAGTCCCGCGCCTCCGGCTGGCAGCGGGTGCACCCGAGCAGGGTCACCCGGCATCCACATGCGTGGGGCAGAGCCCGCTGCCCCACTTTGCCTCCTGCTCCTCCTCAGGGCCTGCTGAGGAACCTCTCCCTGGAGTCCAGCCCGCTGCACGGCTGGCTGCTCTACCCCCTGGCCATTGACCCTGCAGTGCAGCAGGGCTGGCCCCACGCTGCCCCCCACAAGTCAAGCAGCAGGGGTAGAGCAGGACCAGCCTTCTACATGGGGACCTTTGAGAGTCCCGGCAGCACCTGGGACACTTTTGTGAAATTCCCAGGGTGGAGCAAGGTAAGGCTGTGCATAGACCAAGGAGAAGGGAGGAGGGGGCAGTGGGGCACAGCTCATCCTGCTCTCCCCGCTCCAGGGCCAGCTGTGGATCAATGGCTTCAACCTGGGCCGGTACTGGCCGCAGCGGGGGCCCCAGCAGACCCTCTTCGTGCCCAGCTCAGTGCTGCACTCTGACCGCCCCAACAACATCACGGTGCTGGAGCTGGAGGGGGCACCTCCCGTCCCCTCCCTGCTCTTCCTCGACCAACCTCTTTTCAACAAGACCCTCAGCCGCAGCGCTGTGCCTGCAAAATAAACCCAGGGCAGCCTGGCCCTCTCCCCACCTCTGCCTCGGGCTGTGGAGATGGTGGAAGGGAGGAAGCTCCAAGGGAAGGGGTGCGCGCCCGGGCACAGACACCTGCCCTCCTCGAGGGGATGCACTAGAGAGAGCAAGACGGCTTCGTGGGTCTCCCACAGCTCAGCCCAAATGGTGCCAGTGCCCCTGCAGCAGCCCCCTAGCACCCACACACACATCAGACTGGGCCCAGCAGCTTCAGACACCTCTTTATTGACAACACAGGCACCGGAGGTAGTTGCCGACACAACCTGGCTGAGCTGGCACCCGGGAGAAGAGAGGAACAAGCCTAGTCTCAAGGATGGCTCCAGCCACAGCTGCAGGTGTCTCACAGAGGCAGGGGCATCAGGATCTGTCCTGGAGCCAGAGGCAGCAGTGTGCACGGCAGCAGGGAGAAGGGCATCCACCAGCATCCCCCTCTGGAATCAGACACGGGGCAGCCCTGGGCACTCAGCACGCAGGGGATCCCGGCTCTAATGACCCCCCAGCCCTCTCAGGGCCACGTGCGCCCTGCGGCTGCACAGAGCCTCGACGCAGCTGCCCAGAGCGAGGGGGCAGCTCAGCCACTCCATGCAGCAGCCCCTGGGCTCCGTCTCCACCACACTGGTCCTTGGCAGCAGCCCCCGGCCCTACGTGTGGCTGGCCCGGGCTCGGCGGTGTGTTTGCAGGCAGGCCGTGGAGCAGAAGGAGAAGTCGAGGTAGTGGAAAGGGATCCGGGCCGACAGGGACTCGCCACACTGCCAGCAGCGGCTATACAAAAGAGTAGAGGTGGCCCTGAGTGATGGGGACACTTGCAGGAAGAGCACAGGAGCAGAGAGAGCAGCAGAAGGCAGCTGGGGCTCCTCTGGGCCCAGGGCAGAGGCATCCAGGCACAGGACCTGCAGCCCGGCCAAGGTACGCTCCCTGGAGGCGGCACAGGGCCATAGCCTGGTGCGAGACACCTTGAAGCAGGGCGAACGTGGGAGAAACTGGCTCCACGCACATGTGGGGAGCCCCTGAGCCAAAGACTGTGTAGGGCTGACTGCCTACAGGGCTGTGAGGTGGCAGAGAAGGGACAAGGTGACACAGAAGTGCCTGGGAGGGTTGGCTTGCCATAGCCCTGGCCTCAAGGGCACAGGGTTGCCCTTTGCAAAATATTCCTGGGGTAAAGCATAGAAGGGGAGACACTATTGTAACAAGTACTGCTAGGAACAGAAGGGGTGTGAATAGGTTTAGGCTGCACGTGACGAAAAAGTCAGGAAAAAGCCATGCCTGGGTGGGAGAGAGGGACTCTGCCCTGCTGCCTGAGCTGTGTTGTGCTCGCAGTGAGGAGCTGCCCTGGGGTAGGCTGCCCTGGGAGCAGCCAGCCTCGCTGCCACCCCCAGCCGCCCCGCGGGCGTTACCTGACGTCAGCGAGGGACGAGCTGGCATCCTGCAGCTGAGCAGCCAGCCTCCGCTCAGCAGCCAGGGCCCTCTGCAGAGCAGAGGGACAAGTCAGTGTTGCCAGGCCTGGGTGGTGCCGGGAATGCCAGGGCTTGAGGCACCAGGGCCTGCAGCCCCTGCTCTGCCTTTGCCAGGCAAGGCCTCACCTTCTCCCTGTCCGACAGGGCAGCAAAGCGCTGCTTCTCGGCCTGCTCCTGCTCCCAGCGCTGCCGCTCCTCCCGCTGCGCCTGCTCCCGCTGCTTGCGCTGGGCTTTCTGTGCCCGCTTCTTCTCCAGCTTCTTGGCCTCCATCTCCGGTGTTAAGGGCCCGGGCACCTGCGGGGAGCAAGGGCAGAGGCCGGTCAGCACCTCCCGCTGAGCCAGAGGCAAAGATACGAGCAGCCTGGGGGCAGGATGCCGGGGTGCAGCCCAGGGGGGCTCCGCTCAGCCCCCGAGCAGCAAGGGTGCAGGGCAGGACCCACCTTGGCACGGCTGTAGTCGTACCGGTCCGGGTGGTCCACCACGAACTTGCGGAAGGCGTTGCGGGTCGGTTTGTCGGCAGAGACACAGTAGGGCGGCTGCTCCTGCCTGTCTCTGCAGGCCAAAGCAGATCAGTTCAACCCTGCTGTCTTGCTGCCTGTGCCCTGCTGGGCTGCGAGCCCAGGGACCTCCCTGAAATGCCCACCAGGGGCAGGAAGCCGGGATTCCCCAGCCAAGGCAGGAATGTTGCATATCCCCTGCAGCAGCAGCTCCCAAATCCTCCCTTTCCTGCAGCCCTTGCAGAGGGCAGTCTCATCGGAGCCCTCTGAACTGCCTACCCATAAACAGGGGAGCACTTCAGGGCACTGCCCACCTAATGAGCCCAGAAGTCCTGGCCAGGAAAGACCCACCCCAGCTGTGCCAGGCCAAGGCTGGCACAAGTCTCCCGTGGCCAGGGCAGGAGGGTTGCTGGGGAAGGCAAGGGGAGCACCAGGGTGCTGTGGGGCAGCCTCCTAGGGCAGGAGCTGTGCTTGCCATCCCCCGATCGTACCTGAGCGCAGGGTCAGCCCCTGCCTCCAGCAACAGGTACACGGCCTCGGCCTTCCCTGCACGTGCTGCCACGTGCAGCAGGGTGCAGCCACGCTCATCCACAGGCTGGTTGAGCAGAGAGCAGGGAGCAGCCTCCTGCCCACCCTCGCTGTTCCCCGCTGGGCTCCCACTCTCCGGCACAGCCAGGAGGTGCCGCAGGGTCCCCACGTCCCCCGTCTTGCAGGCTGTGAACAGGGCGTCACGGAGCTCGGCCTGGGGATCTCCTATGAGGGAAGGACATGGAAGGGAGCCTGATGCCACAGGGCCACTTGGCTTCCTGGACAGAGCAGTGTTCTGGTCTGACCAGCAAACCTACACAGAATTGTTAGAGCATGGTGCTACCAACTGAATGTGCCTTCAGAGTCTGCGTCCTGACTACATGCTCATGGCATTGCTGGGCACAGCCAACAGCGGCCAGGCCCTCTCCTGCTGGGTCAAGAGCAGCTCCAAACCCCACTACACGCCAGGCTTGGCCAGGTGCTGCCTGCCCCATGGAACATGTGCTAGGGGATTGGACCTGGTGGCCTTGGATACCCTCCCCTCTCCCACAGCTCCCATGGCAAGGAGCAGCAAGTTGCAGACTTGTGGCATCCCAGGGCTGCTCTCATGGCATAGATCTTTGCTACTCTCTGCTCCCATCCATCTAGGTGGAAATGCTCTGGGGCTCACAGTTCCTGCTGTGCATGTCTCTGCACACTGCTTGCCTTAAAGCAAATAGCTGCCTTGTAGCTGTGGCAGCACCCAGCTGCCCTGGGAAACTGCCTCAAAATTTCCTCTTCACCCCAAAGCAAAGTTCTCTGGCAAACAGAGAGCTCCCCCCGGCCCCACTTACCTTTGCTGGCCCAGGAGAGGGGCTCAGCCCCAGCCTCCTCTTGCGGCTCCGTTGCCAGCTCCAGGCTGTCCGTCTCCTCAGCACGGCACCCTGAGAGGGAACAAGCTGTGAGGAAAAGGCAGCCCAGCCCGGACTGCAGGCAGGCCAGCTCCTTCCCACACAGCTCCAGGCCTGGTCTTCCCCCTCACCTGTCTCCACCTTCTTGTCCCTCTTCCTCCTCCTCTTGCGGTTTCGCTTGGGCATCACCTCAAACTCCCGGAGATCCAAGGTCCCTAGTGTAACCTCCACGGCCTCCAGCTCCCCTGCCAGGCTGTCCTCTTCTTCCTCCTCCAGGGCTGCGGGGGGTGAGAGGGCAGGGGCTGGGGCCCCAAACACAGCACGATTGCTTGGGCTCTCTGCCAAGCACACGCACCCAGCACAGAGCCACCTTCTGCAGTGCCAGGCCTTGCAGTGGGGGTGTCAGCCAGGCCTGCAGGCCACAATGCCAGCTCCTCCAGTTCTCTGTGCCAGGTTTCTCTCTGTGACTCTACTCACCATTTACGTCCTCCCGCAAGGGATCTGTTTCTGCCACTCGCTGCCCCTTGTGCCAGCCCTTCCGGGGGGTCCCAGTGACATCTTCTAGCGGTGTGTCCTTCCCTGGGCAACAGGGGTGCTCCCATCCCTGCCAGCCACGGGGGCAGCATGTCCAGGCCCGGAGGGCGCGGGCCCCTGCATCGTGCACAAGGAGCCGCGCACAGGCACCGGGGCTGCGCTCACTCACCGTACACCTGCAGGCTGGTTAGCGTGCCGTGCTCCCGCAGCACCTCCCACAGCGTGGCCCTGCGGGTGCTCAGGGGGATGTGCTGCACGCGGGGGTCTCCCCGGGTAAGGGGGGGGTTTCTGCCACCAAAGAGCAGCGCCCGGTTTTGGCGGGGGGCCCGGAGGAAGATGCGCTCGGCTTCCTGCAAGTGGTGTGCCCAGCCCGCCAGCAGGTCCTGGATTTCCTGGGGTGGAAGGGGTGGGCACCGTGGGGTCCTGAACCACATAGTGTGGTACACGCAGCTCTAGAACAGGAACAGCTCCAGGACAGAGCAGCTCCAACTGTTCCCTGTCCTCCCCCTGGAGCTCACACCCCATGCGTGACCTCTGTCCAGCGGCAGCACGGTGCCACCCCAAGCAGCCACCCGGAGCGTGCACGGTGTAGCGGTGGAAGGTCTTGTGCTCCTGCACCTCAGGGCTGCAGAGAGGGATGGGCATGAGCAATACAGCACCAGGTACACAGGGAGGGAGAGCTGGTGCTCCCTGGGGCCCTGCGGGGCTTGTTGACCCTGCAGTGCCTGTGAAAACTTTTTTTTTTTTGCAGTAGGATTGGGCTTAGCCAATTCTCAAGCAATGGCCAGGAGCTGCTGGTGCCCAGGGTGCGCGTAAGGCTGGTGATGGAGGAAAGGAAGGGGGCGGCCGTCGTCAGTGAAGGATCTGCCCAGCACCCAGCCCCACCTGTCCCCGCGCAGAGGGGCGAGCCCGGGGTGCTCCGCTGTACTCACCCCTGGAAGACGGCTCCCGCAAAGTGCCCGCCGCCCATCATCAGCACCACCCAGCGCGCGCTCGCGCTGATGCTCTGCAGCGACGCCACCAGCTCCGCCGGCTCCTCACTGACACCCTGAAACACAGGGCCCGCTGATAGCATCTGTGGGGCCACCTCACTACCTCTTGCTGTCCTCTGGGACACGGGCCAAGTCCTCTGCTGGCACAGAGGCAAGGGGGGTTACAGACAAAAAGGAGTATGGTTCACCCTGTCCTACCCTGACTATTGGGCTGTGCAGAGAGCTCGGTAGCTGCTTCAGCCCCAGTTTGAACCGGGGTTCATCAAGAACAGATGATCAGAGAGCCTCGGGCTCTGATCTGGCACCAGAGGCTGCCCTCCCCATCCACAGGGGAGCTCCGGGCAGATGCCTGCACCCAGGGCCACCCCCTCTCTGGGTCCCTCCTCCAGCAGGCTGGGCTGCGACTTGCCTGTCCAGTGCCCAGCACACAGCGGTAGGCAGAGATGAGCTGGCCCCTCGCGTTCCTGAAAAGCACCTTGTGGGAGCGGGGAATCTGAGGGGTCCCAGGACTATCGTTGGCAGGAGGCAGTGAATCTGACTCACTGCTCGAGTCGGAGCTCTCCGAATCAGATCCTGAGATGCTGGAAACATCACCTACAAAGGAGAAGAAACAGAGCAGTGGAGCAGCACAAATATCAATCCATAGCCATTCCCAAAACCTTGTGGACTGCTCCAAGAGCTGGCTCAGAGCCCCAGAAATGCCCTGTTCAATATCTTACATAGTCACAAGGGAGCTCTAGGCTGCAGACAGATGTATTTGGGGCTATCCTAGGCACAAAGAGGCAGGGGCTCAGGTGGAACATAACCCTGTCCTCACAACAAGTTAGCAGGTTCAGGCCCAGTAGCAGAGCCAGGGGACCCCACCAGGCAGAACAAAGGGGCCTGAAGCGAGCAGGGACAGCTGGGGACTTGCATCCCCAACCCGGGCTGGGCAGCCTGGTGCTGCGGGCAGCGCCACCCCTCACCTGAACGGGTCTTCTCCTCAAAGCTGTCAGCTGGCAGCGCCCGACGCCCCCGGAGCCGCTGCTTCAGGTTGAAGCGGTGCCAGTCCAGGCGGTAGTGCTCAGTCTGGGGAGGAACACGTTTGTTTGAGGGGCCCAGCAGGGCACCCGGGGGTGGGCTGCGCCCCCGGCACAGGGCCCTGCGGGCCGGGGCAGCCCCGGGCAGCGCTGCTGCTCAGGCTTTGCGACTCACCTGCTCCTCGCGGCTGTCAAACGCCTGCGCACACGTGGAGCAGAACATGCGCTCGGGCACCTCGGGGGCCCCTCGCGCCCTCTTCTCACCCCTGGTGACTGCAGCTCTCTCTGGAAGAGGAAGGAAGGGTTGTGCCACGGGCAGCTCCCTGCAGCATCACCGCAAGGGCCGAGCAAGGAGCCTGCTGGCTCTTGGCCACACACAATCCCGGACACCCAACCAGCACGGGAATTCCGGACAACTCGGGCTGGCAGATGCAGGCACAAGCAAGGCCCAGCAGCTCCCCGGGCAGCGGGCTGGGGCCAGCCCAGTTGTGCTGCAGGGGCCGGAGCCCTCTGCCCGCACCGCGGCACAGGCAGACACGGGCTAGGCCGGACACCCGCCTCGTGCCACCGCTGGGCCCCTCAGGCCCAACCTACCGTGGCCTGGGGGCGCCGGCTGCGCCGCGGACGCGTCCCCCGGGAAGGCAGCGACGAGGGCCAGCCCGTGCAGGAAGGCGGGGTCGCGGGCGGCCTCGAACACGGAGCGGCTCTGCGGGGCCGGCATGGCCGCTGCGGGGCAGCGCCGCGGGTGAGTCCCGGCTGCG